GATGACTGACCTGCATGTTCATGAGGGAAATAAGGATTTGTTCCCCTTCACAAAACATGACTTAGTACTTGGTGGCAATCACAGAGGTCCGACGTTTCCTGGAGTTGGCCCCCAAGTTTTCACACATCTCAGGAGGGATTTTGGCCCACTCCTCTTGGCAGATCTCCAAGTCATTAAGGTTTGGTGGCTGACATTTGGCAACTCGAACTTTCAGCTCCCTCCACAGATTTTCTATTGGATGAAGGTCTGGAGACTGGCAAGGCCACTCCAGGACCTTAATGTGCTTCTTCTTGAGCCACTCCTTTGTTGCCTTGGCCGTGTGTTTTGGGTCATTGTCATGCTGGAACACCCATCCACGACCCATTTTCAATGCACTGGCAGAGGGAAGAAGGTTCTCACCCAAAATTTGACAGTACATTGCCCCATCCATCGTCCCTTTGATGCGGTGCAGTTGTCCTGTCCCCTTAGCAGAAAAACACCCCCAAAGCAGAATGTTTTACCACCATGTTTCACAGTCGGGATGGAGTTCTTGGGGTCATAGGCAGCATTCCTCCTCCTCCAAACACGGCGAGTTGAGTTGATGCCAAAGAGCTGGATTTTGGTCTCATCTGACCACAACACTTCCAACCAGTCCTCCTCTGCATCATTCAGATGTTGAGTGGCAAACTTCAGACGGGCCTGGACATGTGCTTTCTTGAGCAGAGGGACCTTGCGGGCACTGCAGGATTTCAGTTCTTGTCGGCGTAGTGTGTTACCAATTGTTTTCTTGGTGACTGTGGTCCCAGCTGCCTGGAGATCATTGACAAGATCCTCACGTGTAGTTCTGGGATGATTCCTCACTGTTCTCATGATCAATGACACTCCACGAGGTGAGATCTTGCATGGTGCACCAGACCTAGGGAGACTGACACTTGTTTTGTGTTTCTTCCATTTGGGAATGATTGCACCAACTGTTGTCACCTTCTCACCAAGCTGCTTGGCGATAGTTTGGTAGCCCAGTCCAGCCTTGTGTAGGTCTACAATCTTCCCCCCGACATCCTTGGACAGCTCTTTGGTCTTTGCCATGGTGGAGAGTTTGGAATCTGATGGTTTGATTGCTCCTGTGGACAGGTGTCTTTATACAGGTAACAAAATGAGATTAGCAGCACTCCCTTTAAGAGACTGCTTCTAATCTTAGCTTGTTACCTGTATGAAAGACACCTGGTAGCCAGAAATCCTGCTGAATGATAGGGGATCGAATCCTTATTTCCCTCATGAACATGCAGATCAGTCATCATTTGTTAGACATGCATTTCTGCTGAATTTGTTGTTCCTATTCTGTCTCTCAGTGTTACAATACACCGAACATTCAATTTTTAGACCGATCGTTTCTTTGTGAGTGGGCGAACATTCAACATCAGCAGGGGATCAAATACGCATTTCCTTCACTGTACACTCCTGACCACTGCACTCTTAGTACATTATATCCTCCTGACCACTGCACTCTTAGTACATTATATCCTCCTGACCACTGCACTCTTAGTACATTATATCTTCCTGACCACTGCACTCTAAGTACATTATATCCTCCTGACCACTGCACTTCTTATATTGTACAATGGTTGCTGGTTGCTTGGTAGTCCCTATGTTAATGCAGTCCTTCTTGGAGGAAGGATGTGTGCAGAAATAGCATATGTCATGCAAGAGTCTCATTCTCTACAAATGGCTTTGCTCAGGTATGCGACTTTTAGACTCTTGAATGTGTCACAGTATTTAAAGCATGTTTTTGAGGGACAAGAACTGTGGCATGTGTTACTGTAAGTTTTAAGCCCCTCCCACCCTTAGCACAATATTGCCGCACCTTCAATTTGCCACGATGCGCTCTGCACCGCCTAATTGTCCTCTGCGTGCCCAAAGGCTGCAAAAAAAGAAAGACCTTCATGCGTGTAGCGTCCTGGCCGGGATTCCAACCAAGGACCCCAGTGCTGCAAGTCAAACGTGCTAACCACTAAAACCACTGCAACGCCCAATCATTTATGACCTACAGAAGATCATCATCAAATGGAAACATTTATCATTTGGATTGTAATTTTAATAAGATTTAAGGAGCACAAAAAAGAAAAAAAAACCACATGCAGCACCTCAAAAGAAAATATTCACAATAGAAAAATGAAATCTTAAAAAGCAAATAAATGCAAAATTCAAGTAGCTGCAGCATGCTGAGGTAGGTTTCGATCACCATTAGAACAGGATTTGTCCTAAACAAAAAAATCATAATGGGGATATCAAGGGACTGATATAAAATGTAGCAAGTCAAACATTAGATTATTCCTTGCTTTAGGACAGGAAGTTCTTCAAAAGTCATCCACCTGTCCGCTGTCATGGAGGACCACCAGCTGAAGGAGAGATGGAAGTCCACCACGGGGAAACCCCATGCAGTCAGGGGTGACAAATGATCTTTATCTGTAGATGACACCATTCAATACTGCAAGACGTTTTTTCCCTTGAGTGTGACCTCTCTCTTTCTAGCCAGCTTTGATTTCGGAACATCTCTTGGAATCCTAGCTAGAAATGGTCCCTCAACTCTTGGAACATTCTGATGTCTGCAAGACGATTAGAAGATGATTTGATTTCCTTACCAAGGTGGTCTACATCTCAGAACAGGAGTTTGGCTTCTCCCCGTATGGTCTATTCATATTTCCAGTTCGGACATGCATATGAGGAGCACCAACTGGAGAAGAACTGGAAGTCCTCTACAAGAACTGCCTTGCAGTCAGGGGTGACAAATGATCTTCATCTGTAGATGACACAATTCAACTTCACAAGACAATCTACTTTTGAGTGTAACCTTTCTTTCTAGCCAGCTTTATTTTCAGAACATATCCAGGGAACCTTGATAGAGAAGATCCCTTAGACCTTTGAACATCTTCTGATGCCTGGAAGGCTGATTTGATCTCCATACCAAGGCTTTCTGCATCTCAGAAACAAACTATGACTTCTTTCCATAGAATGTATTCATATTTCTAGTTCTGATGTAAATATGAGGACCACCAGCTGGAGGAGAGCTGGAAGTCCTCTATAGGAACCCCCTTGCAGTCAGGGGAGACAAATGATCTTTATCTTTTCAACATCACAAGATGTTCTTTTCTTGGAGTAAGACCTCTCCTTTCTAGCCAGCTTTATTTTCAGAACATCTCTGGAAATCCTTGATGGAGAAGATCCCTTAGCCCTTGGAACATTCTGATGACTGAAAGATGATTTGATTACCATACCAATGATTTCTGCATCTCGGAAAAAGACTGTGAATCCTCTCCATATGATGTATTCATATTTTCAGTTCTGACGAAACTATGAGGACCACCAGCTGGTGGAGAGCTGGAAGTCCTCTATAGGAACCCCCTTGCAGTCAGGGGTGGCAAATTATCTTTATCTGTAGAGGGCACTGTTCAACATCACAAGATGTTTTTCTTTTGGAATAAGACCTCTCCTTTCTAGTTGGCTTTGCTTTCAGAACATCTCCTGCAATCCTTGGTGGAAATGGTCCCTCAGCTCTTTGAATATTCTAATGTCTAGAAAATGACTGATTTCCATATCAAGGCCTTCTACATCTTGGAAGAAGCCATCTTGTGGCTTTTTCCCATATGATGTATTCTTATTTAGAATTCTGACATAAATATGAGGGCCACCAACTGGAGGAGAACTGGAAGTCCATTACAGGAACCCCCTTGTAGTCAGGGTCGTGATTTTCTTGATATGTTTTTGTCAAGTGTTTTAGACTTTGCAAGGGATGGAAGCCGCTGTAACAAAATATTTTAGGCAGTTCAAGAATAACTGCAAGTGCAATATTCATTTAGAGTCAAGGAAAAGCCTCATATATAAGTCAGAATTGGAAATATGAATCCATCATATGGGGAGAAGCCAAACTCTGTGGGCACCTTTGTCTATAGGTGACACCATTCAACATCACAAGACCGTTCTTCTTTTGTGACCTCAATTTCTTGCCAGCTTTGTTTTCAGAATATCTCTGGCAATCCTTGCTGGAAAAGAAGCCTCAACCCATTGAAAATTCTCTCTAGAATTTGATTTTATTTCCATACACAGGCCTTCCACATTTCGGAAAAGAGAGAACAAGGCTTCTCCCCAAATGATATATTCATAGTTCCAATTCTGACATGAATACGAGGACAACGAGCTAGAGGAGATCTGGAAGTCCACTATGTGAACTGCCACACAGTCAAGGACGACAAATGATCTTTATTTTTAGAAGACACCATTGAATATCACAAGAGGTTAGCCTCTTGAGTGTGACCTCTTGTGTCTAGCCAGCTTTGCTTTCAGAACATCTCAGTCAATCCTTTCTGAAAAAGGTCCCTCAGCTCTTTGAACATTCCCATGTCTAAAAGATGATTCGATTTCCATACCAATGTCGGAACAAGGCTTCTTCCCATATGATGAATTCATATTTCCAATTCTGACATGAATACGAGGACAACAAGCTAGAGGAGATCTGGAAGTCCACTATGTGAACTTCCACACAGTCAAGGGTGACAAATGATCTTTATTTATGGAGGACACCATTGAATTGTCACAAGAAGTTAGTCTCTTGAGTGTGACCTCTTGTGTATAGCCAGCTTTGCTTTCAGAACATCTCAGTCAATCCTTTCTGGAAAAGGTCCCTCAGCTCTTTGAACATTCCCACGCCTAGATGATGATTCGATTTCCATATCAATGTCGGAACAGGGCTTCTCCTCATATGATGAATTCATATTTCCCATTCTGATATGTATACAAGGCCTTTCCTCGACTCTAAAGACACATTCCACTTGCAGTTGGCCTTGATGATAGCATCTCCCGGGCCACCTGAGCAAAACTTGTCAAGAAAATGGCACCTCACCAGTGTGGATTGGTTTGGTGTTGCACAAGAACATCTAAATGACTCTTCTATTTCAACTCTCAAGGAAATAACAACCTCTTATTTGCCCCTATAACATTTCCTGCACTTTGGGGGCCCACATTCTCCCCAGTGTGGACCTTCTGATGCCTGAGAAGACTGTTTTTAAAGGTGAAGCTTTTCCCGCACGTGGAACAGGAATATTGCTTCTCAGTAGTGTGAGAGTCCTGATGTGAAATCAGACAGGCCTTCCTGGTAAAACGTTTCCCACACTCTGAACAGGAAAATGGCTTCTCACTGGTGTGACACTTCAAATGGCTACTGAGGTTCTCTTTAGAAGGAAAACATTTTCCACACTCAGGACAAGGAAAGGGCTTTTCTCCGGTGTGGACTCTTATGTGTGTAACAAGTTTATAATTCTTCGTGAATGATTTTCCACATACCGAGCATGAAAAAGTCTCCCCGGTGTGGACCCTCTGGTGCAGAGCAAGTTCAGATTTCTTTTTGAACGTCTTCTCACAGTTCGAACATGAAAAAGGACGCTCAATCATATGGCTGCTCTGATGCGTAAGAAGGTCTCCTTTCTGAGTGAAACTTTTCCCGCACTCCGAACAGGAATACGGCCGCACTCCGGTGTGAAGCCGCTCGTGTAACACAAGACTTGCCTTCTGCGTGAAACTTTTCCCACAGTCCGAACACGAAAAAGGACGCTCACCTGTGTGAGTCCTCCGGTGCGTAAGGAGGTCTCCATTCCGAGTGAAACATTTCCCGCACTCGGAGCAAGCGTACGGCCTCACGCCGGTGTGAAATCGCTCATGCACGATGAGGTTTGCTTTTTGCGTGAAACATTTCCCGCACTCTGAACACGAAAAAGGACGCTCACCCGTGTGGATTCTCTGATGTCTAAGGAGGTCTCCTTTCCAAGTGAAGCATTTCCCGCACTCTGGACAGGAAAACAGCTTCTCATTACTGGAACGGGAGTTGAGGTTTCTTTTTTCTTTGCCACCATCTTCTGCATTACAACCTGGAGGTAAGACAAGTTGTCCTTCAGAGGTGTCCTGGACGGCACGTCTACCTGTTGGGAAAAAAACGTTACATGAAGCAAGTTGTTTTTTCCAGTTTCATGGTTAGGAGTCATGTACATGGCCTAGTATTCCACAATTTCACAAGGCTCTGCCGTGACTAATAAAGATATTCAAAGTTTTTTTCAAGCCAAAGAATAATGGTGTCATGAAATGCCCCCTGAACTCTGTACTGGCATTCATTTTCCTCCCGTTGCCACCCTGCCCTCTAAGTAATTAATCCTTCTGGCTTCACATTACGGCTGTGTGACAGCAAGCATTCCACAGCTGATTCCTGTCCTGTGCTGTGTTGTTTAGGCTCCCTTGTGTAGCTGCGCAGACTATGAAGGTGACGTCATGACGTAACCAAGACTGATGTTGGGTAGGATTGAATGGATCTCAATTTGCATGATATCCCTTCCAGTAACGCTTCCTATGGACAGCCTACTTACGGCTGTGTGACAGTAAGCCTTCCACAACCACTACCTGTCCTTTACTGTGTCATTTGAACTTCACGCTGTAGTTGCACAAAGTACAGAGGTGACGTCACGACGTTACCAAGACTGATGCTAGTTGGGAACTAACGGATCTCAATTTGCATGATATCCCTTCCAGTAACGCTTCATATGGACAGCCTACTTAAAGCTGAGTGCCAGTAAGCCTTCCACAACCACTTCCTGTCCTTTACTGTGTCATTTGGACTTTCCACTGTAGTTGCACAGACTACAGAGGTGACGTCACCACGTTACCAAGACTGATGTTGGGTGGGATTGAAAGGATCTCAATTTGCATGATATCCCTCCCAGTAACAGTTCATATGGATAGTCTACTTATAGCTGTGCAACAGTGAGCATACCTGTCCTTTGCTGTGTCATTTAAACTACGCTCTGTAGTTGCATAGACTACAGTGGTGACGTCATGATGTTACCAAGACTGATGTTGGGCGAGATTGAATGGATCTCAATTTGCACGATATCCCTTCCAGTAACGCTTCCTATGGACAGCCTACTTACGGCTGGGTGACAGTAAGCCTTCCACAACCACTTCCTGTCCTTTACTGTGTCGTTTGAACTTCACTCTGTAGTTGCACAAACTACAGAAGTGACGTCACAACGTTACCAAGACTGATGCTAGGCGGGAATGAATGGATCTCAATTTGCATGATATCCCTTCCAGTAACGCTTCATATGGACAGCCTACTTAAAGCTGAGTGCCAGTAAGCCTTCCACAACCACTTTCTGTCCTTTACTCTGTCATTTGGACTTTCCACTTTAGTTGCACAGACTACAGAGGTGACGTCACCACGTTACCAAGACTGATGTTGGGAGGGATTGAAAGGATCTCAATTTGCATGATATCTCTCCCAGTAACATTTCATATGGATAGTCTACTTATAGCTGTGCAACAGTGAGCATACCTGTCATTTACTGTGTCATTTGCACTACGCTCTGTAGTTGCACAGACTATAGAGGTGACGTCACAACGTTACCAAGACTGATGTTGGGCAGGATTGAATGGATCTGAATTTGCACGATATCCCTTCCAGTAACGCTTCCTTTGGACAGCCTACTTACGGCTGTGTGACAGTACGCCTTCCACAATCACTTCCTGTCCTTTGCTGTGTCGTTTGGACTTTCCACTGTAGTTGCACAAACTACAGAGGTGACGTCATGATGTTACAAAGATTGATGTTGGGCGGGATTGAATGGATCTCAATTTGCACAATATCCCTCCCAGTAACATTTCATATGGATAGTCTACTTATGGCTGTGCAACAGTGAGCATACCTGTCCTTTACTGTGTCGTTTGGACTTTGCTCTGTAGTTGAACAGACTACAAAGGTGACGTCACGACGTTACCAAGACTGATGCTAGGCGGGAATGAATGGATCTCAATTTGCATGATATCCATTCCAATAACGCTTCATATGGACACCCTACTTATGGCTGTGTGACAGTAAGCCTTCCACAACCACTTCCTGCCTTTTACTGTGTCATTTGGACTTTTCACTGTAGTTGCACAGACTACAGAGATGACGTCATGACGTTACCAAGACTGATGTTGGGCAGGATTGAATGGATCTCAATGTGCACAATATTCCTCCCAGGAATGTTTCATATGGATAGTCTACTTATGGCTGTGTGACAGTGAGCATACCTGTCCTTTACTGTGTCGTTTGGACTTCTCTCTGTAGTAGCACAGACTACAAAGGTGACGTCATGATGTTACCAAGACAGATGTTGGGCGAGATTGAATGGATCTTAATTTGCATGGTATCCCTTCCAGTAACGCTTCCTATGGACAGCCTACTTACGGCTGTGTGACAGTACGCCTTCCACAACCACTTCCTGTCTTTTACTGTGTCGTTTGGACTTTCCACTATAGTTGCACAGACTACAGATGTGACTTCATGACGTTACCAAGACTGATGCTGGGCGGGAATGAATGGATCTCAATTTGCATGATATCCCTCTAGTAACACCAGTAACACTTCATATGGACAGCCTACGTATTGCTGTACGACAGTAAGCATCCCACAGCTGCTTCCTATCTTTTACTGTGCCATTTAGTCTTCCCTTTGTGGTTGCACAGACTACAGAGGTGCTGTCATGACGTTACCAAGACTGATGCTGGGTGGGACTGAATGGATCTCAATTTGCACAATATCCGTTCCAGTAACACTTACTAACCAAGCCCTGCTTGTACAACGTAGTAGCTATGGGTTTTGGGTGTTGTTCAACAAAGTACTTTCCCTTTCACCACCCATATTCGCCCAGAAATCACTAGAGTACCGAATAATCCAGGGACATAGACATGATGTCCTCAGAACACCAGAACTACCTCCTGGTGCCCTGGACTTGCAAAAGGCTCATGAGAAATCACTAGCGTCCCGAATAATCCAGGGATATGGAAATTGTGTCCTTAGAACACCAGAACTACCTTCTGGTGCCCTGGACTTGCAAAAGGCTCGTGAGAAATCACTAGAGTCCCGAATAATCCAGGGACATGGAAATGATGTCCTCAGAACAACAGAACTACCTTCTGCTGCCCTGGACCTGCAAATGGCTCGTGAAAAATCACTAGAGTCCCGAATAATCCAGGGATATGGAAATTATGTCCTCGGAACACCAGAACTACCTTCTGGTGCCCTGTTCTTGCAGAAGGCTCGTGAGAAATCACTAGTGTCCCAAATAATCCAGGGACATGGAAATGATGTCCTTAGAACACCAGAACTACCTTCTGGTGCCCTGGACTTGCAAAAGGGTTGTGAGAAATCACTAGAGTCCCGAATAATCCAGGGACATGGAAATGATGTCCTCAGAACACTAGAACTACCTTCTGATGACCTAGACTTGCAAAAGGCTCGTGAGAAATCACTAGAGTCCTGAATAATCCAGGGAAATGGAAATTATGTCCTAAGAGGACAATAAATATCTTCTGGTGACCTGGACTATGTGATAGAGGCAAAAAAATTAACAATTGGGGGTGTGGTGGAATCTTTAAGAGATACCATACCTAGAGGAGGTGAGTAAACCCTGCAGCTGAGTTTCAAGACCTGTAGCCTTCCATTTATATAATAGTTTATGTTACTTTGCTGGTCCACCATTTACAACCCATTCTCTTCTGACCAGACGATGAGAAAGTCTACCATTCTCTACCACTTTCATTCAGTGAGCATTATTCCAACTTTCAGGGGTAAAATAAAAATGTGAACAATTTTTCCATGCCCCGCGTGTCACTTACCCCGGCTGACATCTAAAGAAGATTCCTCCTCTTTAGCGGTGAACTTAGACTGCTGATCACCCATCTGATACATCTTCTCCTCTTCCCCTTTAACCTCAACTTTCATATTAAGGTTTTCAACCTAAACCAACAAATGAGTAGAAAATAACATCTTTAAAATGCAATTGATACGAAGTACACAGAAGAGTATCATGTCATATACATTGGAGTCACCAATGAACCCTGGACTCAAAGTCCCACCTACCTGACCATTGTGAGGGATGGGGTGACCTTCCTGTGTGGAATCCTGGGAATATAGAGAACGGGAACATCTCTCTGGTGGGTTCCCATTACTGGATCCATCTACCTGATGATGGTAAGGGATGGTGTGACCTTCCTGTGTGGAATCCTGGGCATACAGAGGACGGGGACATCTCTGTGGTGGGTTCCCATGACTGGATTCATCTACCTGATGATGGTGAGGGATGGTGTGATCTTCCTGTGTGGAATCCCAGGAATACAGAGGATGGGGACATCTCTCTGGTGGGTTCCCATGACTGGATCCATCTGTAGGAAACACACACACTGACTGAATCCATTGTTTCTATGTGTTTATCAGATGATGGGGGATCTAGGTGGACCCTCCGTACTGCTCTCTCCTTTCCAATAAAGTCTCTTCTTACCCGGTGATGTGAGGGGCGGCTGATTGCCCATCATGACATTGGGTTTCTAACCAAAGGAAGGTCTACAGATCCTACAATCATCAATCCATATACCCGAAGTGTCTGTATTTAAAGTCCCTTACTCACTTGTTTTGATATCTGGAGAAGATTCCTCTTGTTTCACTGTCAACATCATCCCGACCTCCTCCGTAGACTCCTGATAACCCGTTGCATATGCTTCCTCTTCTTCCTTCTTAACCTCAACTTTCATATACATCTGTTCTTCATTCTAGACCAACAGAAGGATAGAGAATAATATCTTCAAAATGTGAACACCGATAGCCTGAGACAAACTAGAGGAATCTAATTTTTTAAGGTCTGGATTCGCTTCAGTGTTCTACTCATCTACCTGATGATGGTGAGGGATGGTGTGACCTTCCTGTGTGGAATCCCAGGAATGCAGAGGATGGGGACATCTCTCTGGTGGGTTCCCACGACTGGATCCATCTGTAGGAAACACACACACTGACTGAATCCATTGTTTCTATGTGTTTATCAAATGATGGGGGGGGATCTAGGTGGAGCCTCCGTACTGCTCTCTCCTTTACAATAAAGTCTCCTCTTACCCGGTGATGTGAGGGGCGGCTGATTGTCCATCATGACGTCCTTGTAGAGATATCCTGACAACGTGACACTCTACAGATCCTAAAACATAAATCTACATACCTGAACAGTTTCTGTATTTAGAGGCCATAACTCACCTGTGTTGATGTCTAGAGAAGATCCCTCCTCTTTAACGTTTTCCATCATCCCATCCTCTTCCTTGAACTGCTGATCACCCATCACATACGACTCTTCTTCTTCCTCTTTAACCTCAACCTTTATAGCCATAAGATTTTCATGCTAAACAAAAAAAATGGTAATAAGATCTTTGAAATGGAAGCACAAATAACCTTAAACCCAAAAGGGGAATATAGTTTCATTCATTCAGGTACTTACGTTATTGACACCCATCTCCACCTACCTGATGATGAGGGATCATGTGATCTTCCTGTGTGGAATCCCGGGAATACAGAGGCTGGGGACATCTGTCTGGTGGGTTCCCATAATTGGATCCATCTACCTGATGATGGTAAGGGATCGTGTGATCTTCCTGTGTGGAATCCCGGGAATACAGAGGACGGGGATATCTTTCTGGTGGGTTTCCATGACTGGATCCATCTGTAGGAAACACACACACTGACTGAATCCATTGTTTCTATGTGTTTATCAGATGATGGGGGATCTAGGTGGATCCTCCATACTGCTCTCTCCTTTACAATAAAGTCTCCTCTTACCCGGTGACGTGAGGGGTGGCTGATTCTCCATCATGACGTCCACGAGAGCTCAACAGAGGCAGGAAATGCTTGTTTTTATTAAATCTTTTATGAGTAGTCTTTAAAGGGATTTCATCAAACCAGGACCTGACCTCCTAATAACCGATACTCAACCATCATCTTCAACCTTCTGCAATAAATAATGATAATAATAATAACAAAGAATACAATTATATCCCATGGTGTCATTGGACCTTGAATATGGATCTGAAACAACTGACGGTGAGAAGATCCATGAAAAACCCAGCCAGGTTCTATTTTCTGAGGATCCTCCAACCTGAGGCTTTGAAGGATCTGCACCGTGGTGTGGGAAATGACCCCCAAGACAAACCAATGATGATTATCACCGCATATCAGTTAACCAGCAGCTTAGTACTACGTATGTGTAAGACGGCCACCTACTGTGAGGACACATACCATCCGGATCATCTCCATCCTTTTGATAATGATAAGTCCTGGTGTTACCAGAGATCAGGAACATGTGTAGACTTCTCAATCCGCTCCAGAGCTGCCACCATTGAAATGATACAACAGCTTATAGGTCACATGTAACATTTAGAGACTCTCAGATCCCGTATTGGATCACGCCTGATGAACGAAGGTGTACAGGCTCTTGAAGGGGGCATCTAGTGGGGAGGATGGAGGACATTAAAGAAGATGGAGGACATTAAGGAGAATCTTTATACAAAGAAATGGAGAGAACAAATATACCGACTGGCAACTTCACCCTATCAATAGGCAGCCATTGTCCCGCCCACTTCCATCATGTGACCTTTAACCACTCAGTGTGGGCAAGACCAGAATCCAACATGGCCACCAGGGGACATGATAGAGGAAACTATCCTGTAGTGTCATGTGAACACACCCCACCATTTTCTTGTAGTGACCAACTGCCTTCTCCTTCCCACCATCCTTTAACCCTTTACTGCTCTCTGCCATCCACCAGCCACCCTACATTAACCCTTTACTACCTCTCCCATGCACTGTGTGTTAACCAATTACTGCCCCCCTCCCATCCACTGTGCCTTAACCATTTACTGCCCCCTTCCCATGCACGGTGCGTTAACCATTTACTGCCCCCCTCCCATCCACTGTGCCTTAACCATTTACTGCCCCCCCTCCCATCCACTGTGCCTTAACCATTTACTGCCACCTTCTCATCTACTGTGAATTAAATATTTACTGCCCCCCTCCCATCCACTGTGCCTTAACCATTTACTGCCCCCTTCCCATCCACTGTGCCTTAATCATTAACTGCCCCCTTCCCATGCACTGTGCGTTAACTATTTACTGCCCCCTTCCCATCCACTGTGCCTTAAATATTTACTGCCCCCCTCCCATCCACTGTGCGTTAACCATTTACTGCCTCCATCCCATGCACATTTTTGCCCCCTTCTCATCCCCTGTGCCTTAATCATTTACTACCCTCTTCCCATCCACTGTGCTGTAACCATTTACTGCCCCCCTCCCATCCACTGTGCCTTAACCATTTACTGCCCCCTTCCCATCCACTGTACCTTAACAATTTACTGCCCCCTTCCCATGCACTGTGCCTTAAATATTTACTGCCCCCCTTCCATCCACTGTGCCTTAACCATTTACTGCCCCCTCCCATCCACTGTGCCTTAAACATTTACTGCCCCCCTCCCATCCACTGTGCCTTAACCATTTACTGCCCCCCTAACATCCACTGTGCCTTAACCATTTACTGCCCCCTTCCCATCCACTGTGCCTTAACCATTTACTGCCCCCCTAACATCCACTGTGCCTTAACCATTTACTGCCCCCTTCCCATCCACTGTGCCTTAACCATTTACTGCCCCCCTAACATCCACTGTGCCTTAACCATTTACTGCCCCCCTCCCATCCACTGTGCCTTAACCATTCTGCCGCCTTCCCATCCACTGTGCCTTAACCATTCTGCCTCCTTCCCATCCACTGTGCCTTAACCATTTACTGCCCCCCTCCAATGCACTGTGCGTTAACCATTTACTGCCCCCTTCCCATCCACTGTGCCTTAAATATTTACTGCCCCCCCCCATCCACTGTGCCTTAACCATTTACTGCCTCCATCCCATCCACATTTACTGCCCCCTTCCCATCCACTGTGCCTTAATCATTTACTACCCTCTTCCCATCCACTGTGCTGTAACCATTTACTGCCCCCCTCCCATCCACTGTGCCTTAACCATTTACTGCCCCCCATCCCATCCACTGTGCCTTAACCATTTACTACCCCCCTCCCATCCACTGTGACTTAACCATTTACTGCCCCCTTCCATCCACTGTACCTTAAACATTTACTGCCCCCTCCCATCCATTGTGCCTTAACCATTTACTGCCCCCCTCCCATCCACTGTGCCTTAACCATTTACTGCCCCCTCCCATCCACTGTGCCTTAACCATTTACTGCCCCCTTCCCATCCACTGTGCCTTAACAATTTACTGCCCCCTTCCCATCCACTGTGCCTTAAATATTTACTGCCCCCCTTCCATCCACTGTGCCTTAACCATTTACTGCCCCCTCCCATCCACTGTGCCTTAAACATTTACTGCCCCCCTCCCATCCACTGTGCCTTAACCATTTACTGCCCCCCTCCCATCCACTGTGCCTTAACCATTTACTGCCCCCTTCCCATCCACTGTGCCTTAACCATTTACTGCCCCCCTCCCATCCACTGTGCCTTAACCATTTACTGCCCCCTTCCCATCCACTGTGCCTTAACCATTTACTGCCCCCCTCCCATCCACTGTGCCTTAACCATTCTGCCGCCTTCCCATCCACTGTGCCTTAACCATTCTGCCTCCTTCCCATCCACTATGCCTTAACCATTTACTGCCCCCCTTCCATGCACTGTGCGTTAACCATTTACTGCCCCCTTCCCATCCACTGTGCCTTAAATATTTACTGCCCCCCCATCCACTGTGCCTTAACCATTTACTGCCTCCATCCCATCCACATTTACTGCCCCCTTCCCATCCACTGTGCCTTAATCATTTACTACCCTCTTCCCATCCACTGTGCTGTAACCATTTACTGCCCCCCTCCCATCCACTGTGCCTTAACCATTTACTGCCCCCCTCCCATCCACTGTGCCTTAACCATTTACTACCCCCCTCCCATCCACTGTGACTTAACCATTTACTGCCCCCTTCCATCCACTGTACCTTAACCATTTACTGCCCCCTCCCATCCATTGTGCCTTAACCATTTACTGCCCCCCTCCCATCCACTGTGCCTTAACCATTTACTGCCCCCTCCCATCCACTGTGCCTTAACCATTTACTGCCCCCTTCCCATGCACTGTGCGTTAACCATTTACTGCCCCCTTCCAATCCACTGTGCCTTAATCATTTACTGCCCCCTCCCATCCACTGTGCCTTAACCATTTACTACCCCCCTCCCATCCACTGTGCCTTAACCATTTACTGCCCCCTTCCCATGCACTGTGCGTTAACCATTTACTGCCCCCTTCCCATCCACTGTGCCTTAATCATTTACTGCCCCCTCCCATCCACTGTGCCTTAACCATTTACTACCCCCCTCCCATCCACTGTGCCTTAACCATTTACTGCCCCCTTCTCATCCACTGTGCCTTAACCATTTACTGCTCCCCTCCCATCCACTGTGCCTTAACCATTTACTGCTCCCCTCCCATCCACTGTGCCTTAACCATTTACTGCCCCCTCTCATCCACTGTGCTTACCATGCCTTAACCATTTACTGCCCCCTTCCCATGCACTGTGCGTTAACCATTTACTGCCCCCTTCCCATCCACTGTGCCTCAACCAATTACTGCCCCCCTCCCACCCCCTCTTAAAGAGGCATTAGCCCCGGTTCACACTGAATGCTACTTTGAAATCGCTCTCTTTAAGTGAAGTGATATCAAAGCTGCAGATCAGGGCGATTTGTACCTTCGAATTCGCTTGCAACTTCATTTAGCAGAGGTCAATGCAAGTTGCAATGCAATCGGGGAAAAAAAAAAAGTAGCGCAGGAACTATTTTTGTTTTTTAAATGGCGCCACATCAAATCGCACTGATTAAACCGGTGCCACAGAAATACATCAGACGCAACTTCGGCTGCGATTTGTAAATTGCACATCGCACCTAAAGTTGCACCATGTGAACCGGGGCTTAAACCCGAAAACCAAAAATGTAATATATTACAGCTTACCAATCATTTGATGCGACGGCTGCATTAGGTTTTTTTTTCTTAGCCCCCCCCCCACACACACACACAGCCCCCCCCCACACACACACACACACCACCACTGCTGTGACAACAGTATGTGGAGAAGTTCCCCTTACTAGCAGTCACTTTCTAAAAACAGCGCGGCTATCCGGGGCTCCGCCCACGCGGTGCGTCATTCGTTCGTAGATTTAGTGAATAAGTGAACTACAAGTCCCAACAGCCTTGGAGCGCCGTGGTAGTTAATTTATTCTTCCTGTCAATATATCTGCTCGCCCCTTCATCCATTACATTCCGTACACCCTGTACGGGCGAGCAGATATACTGACAGATCTGCAGGAGACCTGCATGGCACCGGCGATCTGCTGAACCATGGTACAATGCTTTATAGGCTCCTGCAACAAAAAATAATACATTTGCATTTTTGTTTACCTGCAAAGAAAAGGGGAGGTGAACTTATCCTTTAATATTCTCTTAGTCACAATTTGCAATTTGCATATTGTCCACTAGGAGATGATCTTGGGTGCTCTTAATGGACCACACATAGGAAGTGG